TTTGGGGTTAACGTACGGGCAAAAGATTCTGGTGCGGGTTGAACCCTGTCTCTGCCCAAGAACTGTACCGTCAAATGCCTAGGTTGAGAAGGCGGGATCGCGAACAGCTTGCTGTGGCTGTCATGGCCATAGCCGGCAAAATGGCAGAGGATGCTTTTCACATGATGGACGTTATCATGGGCCCTCCCCCAAAACGTCTGCTCTCTGCAAACCACGGTGYTRATGCTGGTYTGGCATCAGKGCTGGAASATGAAGATGACGAYAGAACAGGCAGGCACAGTMTGTTGTGGTTGTGGCCAGCAATTGTCAACCTGCTAGACTTGTTCCCTCGTGCCTCGCCTAGATGGTGGGTCATGCGTCGGAGTGGAGGTCTATGGAAGGATCTCCTTCCTGTTGACGATGCGCAGAACGACCATTACATAAGCCTTCTCCAAATGCGACGGTCGAGATTCGATCGGCTTCTGCGGAGGGTTGGTCCGTTGCTGGAGAAACAAGTGACAAGATTCCGGCTGCCTCTCCCGCCGGCCAAGAAGCTCGCGTACTCTCTCCACAGGTGGGCTCATGGCGACGCACATAGGCACAGTTGTTCAGGTTACGGACTCGGCAAAACCAGTGGCCTGCGTGTTGTGCGAGAGGTTGCGGAGGCGATCATCGCATCTTACCCTAATGTTATTGGGTTTGGGGGGCACGAGGAACGTCATGCCCGCATGGACGTGTTCGCTCAGAAGGGTTTCCCGAATTGCTGGGGGTGCATAGACTGCACTCATGTGTATATGGACAAGCCCCGCGCACGCGATGACGATGATTATTGTTCCGACCGAAACAAGCGGTTCTCTGTCGTGGCACAGGTGGTTGTGGACTACGACCTCAAAATCCTGGACTTCTGTTACGGCTTTCCGGGCACTGTTGGCGATGCTCGTGTGCTGAAGCACACATCGTTGTACCGCAGAGCGCTGAAGGGCACACTGTTCTTGGATGAAGAGGGCGACCCTTTCCGTGCCGAGAGGCCAGTCATCCCTGGTGTGCCTGTTGGGTACTTGCTCGGGGACGGAGGTTACCCCAGTATCCCGTGGCGCGTGACACCACACGGGCAGCAGGGCAATGTCACGCGAAACATGCAGGTCTTCGATTCACTGCACAAGATTGTCCGATCATGTGTAGAGCGTTTTTTTGGGGTTTTTAAAATGCGTTTCCAGTTTTTCTATCGTCCACATGTGGCGGACATCAAAAGAGAATGCTTGGAGTTCCACGCATGTTGCATTCTGCACAATCTGCTGCAGGCGTGGGGTGATGTTCCCGAACAGGACAGCGACGACTCTGATGGTTGTTCTCCACCTGTGCCACCTCCCGAGGTTGATAGGCGAGGTGACGGTCACCCCCTTGAGTGCATGTTCGGTCGTGAACGTGGGCAGGCCATGAGAGATGCGTTGTGTGCGGAGGTGGTGCGCTTGTATGATCGCCGCTGGCAGTGACGCCAATCAGACGCCTTCATCCACCTGTTCAGTGTACGTCTGTCATCTGAGATTGACTTTTGGTGTATTGTCGTGTTTCTCCATAAACCGAAGTCACGGGCGACCAGTCATGGCAAACGGCGATGGTGAAAGAGGGTACGTGTGGGAGAGGTATGCACTGCGTGAAGAGTTGGAGAGGACGGAGCGGGAGGTGACATTGCTCCATAGTTTTTTGGTGGCGAGAGGTGACAGTATCAGTGTGTGCGTTGTGCGCGGGAGAGAGGAATGCGAGACGCAGGTCACACAACAGAACATACATGCGAGGAGCTGGGCAAATTCGGTTGTCGAAAGACTAAAAGCTGCACGGGTGAGGCTCATGCATTGCTGCGATCAGCTTGTTGTGCAAGCTATGCGGATGAGACGCGAGCTTGAGCGATGGCGGCGGATGTGGGAGGACAGCCGCATGTAACATGACGCAGCTCAGCAAGCCTTGAGGGATGCGATTCGCGAGAGAGATGAGGTGAACCACGAGAGGGATGACGTGAGGAAGAGGTTGGAGGCCGCCGAGATCGACGTGCAGGTAGCGGCCGCCAAAGACGATCTGCGAGGTCCATCGCTGCAGTCACCGGCCGCCAAAGGCGACGTTGCCGGAGTCACAGTGTGCGACGCCTCGGAATGAGAAGGGGACAAATGGGGAACCCGGCTACCAGCCACAACAAACGGATCCCGTGACTGCCCCTCCGCCATGGCTATGGCACGCATCTGTAACTGCTGCCTCAGGTAATTCTCATCTCGTACAGTCACCCCATAACTTAGCCCCGCGACGGGAGTTCGTGGAGAGGACAGCGGAAGCGGCAGTGTGGCATCGACGTCACGACAAGGGGAGCCCCTTCCTGGCACGGGCGCGCCGACAGAGCTGGGATGGCCCCTAGTCCCGAAAAACTGGGAATTGGGGACTTGAGTGCCCAACAAGTCTGTGACGCCGGCCACGGTTTCCTCCGTACAAAACGCATGCTCAGTGGCGTTCGGAGGAGGGGCAAACCCTGACTGTCCTCGCAAAGAACCGGTCTGTTGGGCATGGTCGGCACGGGGAGTCCCATACTGGGACTCCGAGTACCCCCAGTCCACTATACAGGACAGTCCCGCATTCTCATCCGGCGTTTCCATGGGAGAAAAAATGGAGCGTGGCTGAAGAAAGGTGGACGAGGTGTTAGGGGCGAAACACGGTTTAGGCGATGGCGTCAACGACAACACGTAACGAAGATGGCATCGAATAGAAGTCGGGAGGCTGGAAACGGACAGGACAAAAGCGCTCTCCACATAACGTTGTTGGCCCGAACACCCTTACAAGGGTATTTGGGCACATATTTGCAGCTTACAGGAAGAACGCGCCTGACGATATCTAGGGGCGCGTCCCATTTGTGTTGATTACAGAGTGTGTGAGCGTGCACTTTGCGGGCACGCGTTAGCCGGACCAAGCCATTGATCAAGGAAGACTATGAGACACTGGTAGGACAAGTAAGTGCCAGGCTAGACTTTCTGAGGTGGTCGCAGCCTCGCACGCACGGGCGAAGTTACAGGCAGAGTCGCGTTGACCAGGTAAGGCTGTGACTAGAGGAGGTTGTTGGCTGGAGTACTAGAGGCCGACGTTCAGAGCGGCGCTGTGTGAAATGTTCGCAGGCACTAGGTTGACCATGCACTGACGGTGGTAGTAGCAGCCGCTGACAAGGCCGAGTAGGGGTGGCGCGAATAAGGGTAAGGGCCGGGGTTTTCCGGCATGGAGATGGAAAAAGGGCGGCTTTCCCGAGAAAGAGGTAGCGTGGGGAAGCCTCGGTCTGTTGCCCGTAATGTTGCAGGGCTACTTACACGACGGGTCGAGTGACAGACTGCCTCTAAGAAAGCGGAAGCACACATGCAGAACCGTGGGTTTGAAGGGGAGATCCAGCAGCGGCCTCGGCGCTGCAGCTGCAGGCCCAGGCTGGCTGCCGCTACCATTCATATGCAGGTCGGCATACCGCCGATCCAGGCTTGGGCTTAGCCCTATAGGTTACGTCACTGACCTTTCACCAGGCGGATCCCAGGATCAAGGCCAGCAGCGAGCAGCGGAGCAGGGAGGAGCACTACGAAGCGAACTGAGGGGTTGAGGGTCCTGCGGGACTATCCCCCTTGACTTTTTGTGAGGGGTCCCGACCGCAGGCCCGCGGGGCAGGGCCAAGTACCAATGGTCCCCTCCCTTTTCTTCATTACTATTTTCTATATCTAAGTTCTAATTTTTAATTTCTATTTTTCTCCTTTTTTTTTTTGGGACGAGGTCCGGTACCGGTACCGGGACCTGCGGTGAGGCCCAGCGGCCTTGTTCAGTGGATACACCCACGAACTGCTGCCTGGGTGCAGTCCTTCGGGACATCCGTCAAGACTGGAACGATACAGAGAAGATTAGTAGGGCCCCGACACAAAGCTGACTCGCATAAATAGAGGGGGCGAGCTCTCCCTTCGTTCGCTATGGTGAGCGTTGTCTGAGAAGGTGAGGCAACACAAACTAGTGGGAAGGAGTTAGTATAGGAGGAGAGAGGGGTAGAACTAGAAGAGAGAGAGACAGGGTGGGAGAGCGCAGCAGCAGAGACAACAAGAAAAAAAGAGAAACCGGTGGGAAGATTCGAATGTACCTAGACGGGGGTCTGCCCTAGGTGCATTCGAATACAAGGGAGAGAGAGGGAGAGTACGAATCCTACCATGGTGTGGGGCTGCATACGTCTCGGTTCCGTTCCTACGATCGGTCGAGGAGCGTGACAGCCACGGAGTCGGAGTGCTTACCTGGGCGGAGGAGAGGGTAACTCGAAAGGGTTGGAAGGAATCGGGCGAATCTGGACGGAATCAGGCACAGAGCGCATGCGGAGAAAGGGCAGCGCACGGACGGGAGTTGCATTGACGGACGGGGGGTCAAGTCGCTAGCTTGGCTCCCGACGGAACCAAGCGAGCGAAGGTGCCCAACTGGGATTTTGGAGTAAGGCGAGTGCGATGGTGGAGTCGGAGTGATGAGGAAGGGAGTGTAGAAGGAGATAGGAGGAGGAAGGTGTCGGAAAAGAGGGGAAGCTCATCGAAGGATGCATGCCTCCACGTTTTTGGGAAAGGTTCGTTCTCATCAGGCACACTCTGGACGAATGATGGAGTAGGCTAATATTTGTCCCAGTCACCGATGCTGACTGCTCGCTCGCGCAGGTGCTTCTTTCTCCCTGATTCGGTCCGCCTAGTTCGATTGAACCTGGCCAGGTGAGCGGCCAGGTGCATTCACACACCGAGGGTCGTCCTCGAACAAGGTCGCTGTCGGCAGGGTAGTGGACGGCGGTAGCAGGGAGGGTACCTCGAGCTTGAAGACTCACGTGTTGGCTGGTGCGATGCCCTCCCTATCGATGGAAGGAACCTCTCTCTATCTCGCTGCGCGTATGGCCAGGTAGACTAGCGGGGGAGCCTGAATGAGATGGGATAGAGAGAGGCGAAGGGAGTGAAGAGGGGGAGAGAGGGGGACATGAAGTAGTTATGCATCCTCCCATGCTCTAGTGGAAAAGTTCGCCTCGCTAACTCTCTTGGTTATTACTGGTCGTCATTATGACCTCAGTAGAGATCATCGCCACGGACGTCATCTTCGTCTTGGTTGGTACGAACCAGATGTGGTTCGCTTGCATCTAAGGTTTTTTTGGCCCCTCTGACAACAACTAGTTTCTGGCCCGGATGATCGAAGTCGGCAGCAGTCATCACCTGGGTACAACCGCTTTAACGAGAAGCATGGTTTATGGATCATGTATGAACTTGGCACCAGATCGTGGCCAAGGTTGTCGTGTGAAGTAGTAAATGCGTGGGGTGAGGGGATTGACCAGGGAAGGAGAGGGGTAAAGAGGGAGGTCATGACTGAGTGGGAGGAGAGAAACTGAGGGGCAATTGTTAAAGCGAACTTGACGGGGGTGCAAGGTGCTTACCTAGATCGGTAGTCGGTGAAAGAAGGCCCTACCATAGTATGGCCTAGAGGGGGCATCACCTTGTATATGAAGCAAGGTGCTGCGACTTCGCAGAAGAAAACTATCGTATTTTCATCTCTCTATTTCGGGTTCACAGCGATTTGACTACTGTTTTGTACCAGGCAAATTTGTTGTGTTTTATAGGTTAGTACGGTAAGTCTTTTCCATGCGCTGAGATTCTTGGTTACTGTGGTATATTGTTGTTTTCGCTAAGCGCACTATAGCGCCACCGCGGTGCCCTTCTGCTGCTATTTCTCGTAATCATCCGCCCTTAGATAAACTTGTTCAGACGAGGGGCCAGGGGCGCGCATGCACTGTGAGTACACAATCAAGATGGAAGGTATAAGAGACAGGGTAGTGAGTGGTGTCGCGCGGGTGATCTAAATTTCATGCAGCAGATAGGAGAGAAGAGAGGGTACTTGCCAATGTGAACTGACGATGTGGGATGGGGCCCGACGGTATGCCTGAGTGGAGGAATCAGGAGGAACATTTGTAGAGAAGTGCAGCGGGTTTGACAGGCAAAACGTTTGAACGAACTCAGGCACATAGGCAGAGGAGCATTGTCGGATGGGAAGTTGGTTAGGCGGCACGCCTGAAACAGTAGATACATAAGGGATCGAGTCTAGTCGCTACTCTGTGTAGTCGATAGTCGCCTGAAACAGTAGATACGTATGGGAAGTCGAATGGGAAGTTGGCTGTGAACGAGTCTAGTCGCTGCTCTGTTTAGTCAACAGTCGCATGCGCTGCTGTTCACCCCGGGTGTTGTTGAGGCACGCAGCTATTGATGCGCTGCCCATCACTAAGTCTGTTGTGTCTTGCTATGTCTCACCTGGGCTTGCGGGGGTACGGTGCTGTGGTTCACAGTGCGTCGCCGTGAGATTTCTGCGCAGCGCTGCGTCACTGAGTGTCCCGTACTCTGTTTCTGGCTTTGTCACTAAGGTGAACAGTGGGCCTTGCTGCCCACTTGCTGAGCGCAGCACGGTCTTGCTGTTGTGTTGTGCGTCATATATAGCGATACAATTGTGGTAACCAGGAGTACTCTGGTTGTGGTATACATAAGAGCTATGGATGTGTGGGTGAGCGGGACTGCAGTGTGTTTAGGTGTTGTTGCCAGAGCCCGATACTGCTGTGTCTAGCACAGGGTTCTGTACTAAGCCTTGCAGTACCTTGTCTCGAAGTACAACACGACTGGCTAAGGCTGGTGCACACGGTAAATTTCAGTGGGGAATCCCAGTAGACTGTAGTTACTACTAAAGGCTAACCATACAGCGGTGCTTTCAGGTTGGGTGGTTTTGGTTGTTGTTCTACAGCCTATCGCTGCGCCCAGACGTCGTACCGGACTGGCAAGGCTTTCTACATTCCGTTCTGCGTCTAGCTGCATATCGGTTGAGTACCTACCATGAGGTCAAAGTACCGATTACTGGTGGAGCAAGTTGCTGTCACACAAAGACAGGGCTCTTATTTTGGCACAACGACTGAACAGGGCATTGTTCCCACTGTAGACTGCTGCTATGCGCATCGTATGCCGCTGCTACAGTGGTTGTACCATTACTGTTTTTTTTAGGGGCTGCAGTTGCAGGCTGTGCACTGGTGGAACTTTTATTAGGCTGCTGCGGCGGTATACCGGAGTTGTTCCCCTTTACAGCGGGACTGCTACTGCTGTTGAAGAGCCGTCAGAGGACCGGTATTCTACGTTTTGGTCAAGACTCGGTTAATTTTAC